CCATGAACTTGAAACTGGGAATAAATGTACATTTAACATGTTGCTTACTGCTTGGAGTTTTCATCTGTATGTATAACTGTACATATAACAGACAGATTGCTTCTTTGTGCAAATACTTTTGCTCATAATTGGCCATTGCATGTAGGCTTGAATGTGCAGATACTGTTAATTGAGACGCCTGCTTAGAAAATAGCATTTTTCAACATTGTCCTTTGAATCCAGATCATATTTATTGCTTCCAGTTCTTGCAATAAGAAATCTTTTTTTTGTTATGAATATGTAAAAGTATAAAGCTTCTAATTCTGAAATATATCACACAGCCTTCCTAAGGTTTTTGAGAACAGCTATTTCATCTTCAGTATGTAGTTCACCACAAAAAAAGCATTCATAAATTCTTCTCTGACTGAGATGTTTTAAAGACCTTTGAGGCATGCAGAGGTACTTTATACATTCAGCCAGTTAAATGGTAGATACACGCTATTGGTTGCTCTTATCAAATATGAGTCTTGAATTACATTATAGCCACTTAAATTTAGAATTCAATGCCAAAAGGACTGCATATAGAGCTATTAGAGCTTGATATATTTGCCTGTCTTCCACTGAAAAACTGTTATTTGGCTTATTGCAACCTTGCAAAACTGTCATAAAAATTTAGCAACTAAAAATCCAATCAACCCTTCTTTATCAATACAGCAAATATTAAATGGGAATGGAATTAGAAGATTCTTTACTAATTCTCCTCAGTTCAGCACCTCTCAGTGAGACTTACTGAGATCACTTTCAATGAAGAGGATTGCTTACACTAGTAAAGCTATTGCTGAAATAAAAATATTTGTTTCCAACTCATCCTAAATAAAAATATCTAGTTCTACACTGAAGGCCATTTATTTTTCATTTTTAGACTATCAGGCCATCAGTTGATACCTTTCAAATGTTGTATCTCAAGTCTTGAAAGTACTTTTCCACTTGCTGTTTTCCACCAATAGATGGCAGGTGAAGCCCTAGAAATTTATTCACTTAATACAGCATGCAATAAGAACGTGTAGTTTGCACTCGCCCCCTGTAAATCAGTGCTCTCTGATATCTCTTCAGATGTGATCATGATTTAGCTCTAGCCCATCCACCTTGCATTATAAATCTTAGTCCAGGTTTAGGAATAGCTACATTCTGTGTGTTAGACTGTTAATTCTTATTTATTTTATGCTACTCCATTAGGCCAAACTGAAGTTTGCACACATTGCCTTTCTCTCTTGGTTGGGAAGGTATTTGTCAGCATGGCGTAGCAGCTGTTACATTCATTGAGAGTCTTGGGACTGAGCTCTCTGTATTGAAACAAGAAAGCTCTGCGTTCATATCCATGTCACAAATCATACCGATTGTAAACTGGAAAAGAATAGCTTGAAGCTCAAGCTTTGATTTCCAGCTCCACAAAAGCTAGAAACATGAGAGAGAGAAAGAGTTTGGTGGCAGAAAGAGCCTACGTCAATGATAAAACTAATTTTAATAAATCACAGTAAGGATGCTCATAATGTGATACTATAATTCTTCATATATAATGCTGTATTTAAAAAAAAAAAAATCCAGTTCTTTTCTGAGACACAGAATGCAGGAGGGACCGAATCTTGTTTACATACAAGCCAGGTACAGTGCTTAAAGTCACAATGGAGTGGTATAAAAACACAGGGATTTTCTTCTGCATGTTAGAATGATTTTAGGGACAGGATGTAATGCCTTGTAATCAATTAATTGTAGGATATACTTGAAAAATGAATAGAAGTGTGCATAAACCACATGTTTTGAAGAGTTTAGAGCACAAAAGGATACTTTTCCCCTAGGCAGTCTGCATTAGCAAATGTACGTTATTTGTCCTGAATCAGTCTGCCTTGCAATTGTCCTGCTGTTACTGGCAGTCTAAGTATTGATGACTAAGTGACCATTAGAGCTCAGCTGGTTCTTGTATATATCACAGTAGCTCCTCCAGGCTGACTGAGTGGACAAATTTGACTGCTCTGATCCCTGCACGGCAGCCTGGACGAATTCTAGAAATCAAATCCATTCACTAATCATTCAATTTTTATAAGTTAATTTCATTTTGTGAGGTCCACTTCTAACTGTAACTCTCTGCATGTATTAAAGCTTCCATTATATAGGCAACAGCAGCAAAACACGGATAAAACCCAAGACCATCAAGAAGCATCAATGATTAGACACCGAACAACAAAGATCATGCAGCTGAGTCAGTGACTATTAATCACTCTCTGTCAGTAATGTTACAGAAGAGAAGGGAGGATGTCTGAAACTGCTTCAAATTAACAGCTCTCCAGTGAACTGGGGAACTTTGGCAGCATATATCATGACCAAATTAAAAAAAAAACCTGTTGATTTTAGGTATCCAGTTTAGGTGCCTTAGCCTCTCTAGTCCAGGCGACAATGAGAAGACAGCTGTTTGAACGCCCCTCTACAGGAAATCCCCTGACTAGGTAGGAACCTGAACTTCCAACCCTACCGCCTCAGGCAAATGCTCTAAACCAGGCAGTGTGAATGACCCGTTTAGATATTGTACCTGTCACTGAGTGGGAAACAAATGGATGCAATTAACAAGCAACTCCCCAAGGGCCAGGGTGTGGCATGTAAAACCCGCACACTATCACTGACTTGCCAGCAACACCATGCTAAGCTGTACATGATCTTGACCCTCAAATGACAGCACGTCATCTCAACAGAATTACTAAATAATCAGACTGGCTCAAAGTTATGCATTTCCCCTTAGCTTGCTTTTGTTTAGAGCCTCTCCCTCTAAAGAGTAAACTTTTCATTCGAACTTAAATTGAGAGCAGCCTCTAGGCAGTGCAACTGCAGAGGAAGGTCTGTAAACAATAACTGCTCTGTAGAGAACAAGCTGACCTTTACGGACGTTAAACAAAACAGAAAGAGTTGATTGATCCTGCGCAGTACATGCTCTCTGAAATATTAAAATCAAGAAAGTCATGGAAGGTTAGTTTATGAACATACAGCATGAGAAAGGATGGCAGTGGATGGAGGGGTAGAAAAGGGGAAAAGACGACTGGGTAAAATACTTAGGGAAAAAAGCCTGTATCTTCAGTTGGAAAAGTGTGTAATGCTGATTTCGGTCAAACAGAAACAAAAACCAAACCTATGTTATCTAGAGCAAGTCAGTTGCTAAGGTCTCTATGACTCATTTTTAAAAATTCTGATTAATACAGCAAGATATGGTATAATGTTTTTTAGAAGAAGAAATCTATTAGTAAACTCCAAAGGATAATTACTCACAGTTCAGCCACAAACATGTTATTAATATGGAGAAGGACAATCTAACCTACACAGAGTCACAGAATCGTAGAATTGTTTAGACTGGAAAAGACTCTTAAGATCATCGAGTCCAACCGCAAACCTAACAGTGCCAACTCCACCACTAAACCATGGCCCTAAGTGCTACAGCTATATGTCTTTTAAATATCTCCAGGGATGGTGACTCAATCACTTCTCTGGGCAGCCTTTTCCAGTGCTTGATAACAGTTTTGGGTAAGAAATTTTTCCTAATATCCAATCTAAACCTCCCCTGGACTAACTTGAGGCCGTTTCCTCTCGTCCTATCACTTGTTACTTGGGAAGACACTGACACCCACCTCACTACAACGGTCTTTCAGGTAGTTTCAGTTTCAGTCTGCCTGTGTCTTGTCAACCCAAACTACAGACAAAGGCTGCAGAATGCTGCACTTCTTTCTCTCTTTCTTTTGCTCCCTTTTAATTTTCCCTTCCCTCAGAAATGTATGGGATGAGTGGTTCAGCTTAAACACATCTCTTCCTCTCACCTTCTGGAATGGAACAGTTTCATCATCCAGCACTTAAGGAGGTCCCAGATAAACCTTCCCATTTCAGTAGACAGTCCTCAGTCTGCAATGGTATTTTCAGGTGCAAAAGCAGGTCCCTGCTATATGGTGGATGTAGGAGCAGTAAACGCTGGACTCTCGTTGCAGATGCTAGTGCTGGAACAGTTCTCCCACCAAGGAGACCTAGAGGCTCAAGGAGCTAGAGGGCCCCTTGAAGTTCAATTTGCTGCAGTTCAGAGATTCAGCATCTGTGCTATTAAGGTCTTGGGGCACAAGGACTGTTCTGCTGAGCCAGGTTGAAGGGCAAAGACAAGAAGGGGTCAGCAGCAACAGGGTGGGTGCCCACAGCACTTTGATGGCAGGGGAAGAACATTCTTACTGAACCTCCAGAAGTTACAGAGGGACAGACCACCAAGTACCCCCAAGCACTTTGTGAATAAACAATCCCACAGGCTCAAAATTGCAAGAGAGGGAACAGCTTTGCAGATGTCTCTGTCCTTCTAGGGCTGGTGTCCATTCCCAAACTGCAGTATATCGGAGACAGTATCAGCTGCTCCGTAGCTCCTGCCATCTCCTGCATCAAACCTGTCTTCCCATGCACAGCAGCAAGTCTCTAGGCACACAGTACACCCCGTGTCCAGCTGAATGTGCCTTTGAGGCCAAGAAGCCAGGGCTGAATATTCACATCCATTCTGCAAGCAGGGGTAAGCCTTCACTTCACCAGACTTGCAGGGGAAGCCACATCACTCATCCAGCAGTAACAGGACACAGCAGTTATTTATGGATTGGTACCCTACTGTCTGAAGAAAAAGGCACATCCCCACAATGCTTTTCCAGTACTGTAAACTAGGACCTAACCATGTAGTGAAAGCAATGCCCAGAACAGAAGAACTTTAATAGAAAAACGTTTACGCCAAAAATGTAGTGCTGTCTCTGTCGTGGTTTTTATATGTTTTCAACATGGTTTCTAGAAGACGGCAAAAATGTCATTGGACAGCAGAGGAACTGTCTGGCGTTACAGCTATTTGCAATGCCAGATGACTTGGAGAAAGTTAAGGATTATATCGTGATCCTGCAAGTAATCTGCTGAGAATCTGAGGTGAAAGCATGGCATTTTTACTTCAGTGGGACCAGCATTTCTCCTCTGCTTTAAGCAAAAATACAAATCAAGTACCTCTAAAAAGAGAAGTTAATAATCAACACATTATAGACAATTTTGCCTTAAACTGAAGCAAAGTACTCTGCTAATGAAACATGAAAGTGCAGATACACATCTTTGGATTGGCTATTGGGTAAGTCTGAACAGAGCTTGTGGAGAGAAGAAGGGACTTTCCAGACAACACCCAAAAGCAAATCTATGATTGGAATACGAACCTATGTTAAAGCGACAAAAGAGGTTGGTGAAACCAATGCAGCAAAGGGTAAAGATATCCACATAAAAGAGAGAAACGAGAAGTTATCAAGCAATAGGGAACCCCATTCGAAAACTCAGCCATAATATGTGTTGATTGATTTTCAGAGATGCTGAGCTGAGTTTGATGGATTCTCAGTATCACTGAATATCAAGGAAATGTACTTTATTCCTGTACACTATCCAGCACACTGCATAGTATCCCATTCACTTTAGCTGTGGACAAATTATTGAAAACTTTTACATTTTCCTGATTGCAAACCAAAACTATTTACCATAGGTGTGGCCTCTGTGAAATCCATCAGGAGGTCACCTGGCTCCAAAGCAAATGTACTTCCAGCATCTGTGGAACTCTAAAGGCAAAGATGAAACCCAGCTTTAAAAAAACATTTGTTTCTGTAATTCTGTTGGTTGTTTAGGGTTTTTTTAATTCCTTAAAGCACAGATTGCCAAATGGATTTCAAATTTCACACCATGTTTCTTAAGTATGGCTACTCAGGAAAGACAAACAACAAAATTAGGCATCTTTGAAATCAAGGTAAACATTAATTTAATCCTGATCCACTGCCCCCTTACATTGATGAAAAACTCTTATTGATTTTACTTGGATCTTGGAGCAGGCTCTAAATATTTCCTTACACAACAGGTTAAACATATTACTACAACTCTGCATTAAAAACTACTCCTAAACGTAGAATTATTCCATCTAAGGAAAACAGGTTACCCGCAACTCCCTCCCACCCTTCCTGAGTATTCTCCCAACTGACATAAGCTCATCTCTTTGCATATTACCTTGCCACCAGGCGAAACCTGTGTTTGTCCTTCTGATGTCTGTGGCGTACAGGTTTTTTGTGACCCGGGAGATGCTGAAGACACAGGTGTTGATACTGCTGCTGCCGCTGCCAGTGCTGGAGGAAGGTCGTCTTCATCACTGCAGATGACAGAAGCAGACAGATCTTTTCATTAGAAAATGTCACCGGACTTTGACTGTATCTATGCTAGAGGGGGCACTGGAAATGCATGTATCAGCTGTTGTGCTTTGGAGTGAAGTTATGTGTAATGCAGCTAACTTTTCAAGCAAATTTGATTTTTTAAGCTTTAAAGATTCCTCAAAAGTTGATTGGCTAGGTAACTCTCATCTGCAAATGGAAATCTTACGGGTATGATCTGCAAGTACTGTTTCTATGGAGTACGTATATATGAATAAATGAACCGATTTGACACTAGTCTAATGTTTATTCTTTTCCACGGAGGCTGCCTGTATTGATAAGAGCAGATCTGGTTAGATGATCCATGGGACCAACTGCTTAATTGGCTTTAGACCAATGGGAGATTTGAAACGCTTTATGTACCTAGTCTGTGCTATTGTTTTAAAACTGTTTTTAAAGGACTTTGGTCAACTCCAAAAAAGAGCTCTTCAGAAACATTATTGCAAGGGTCTCTTTTTCCTGTCCCATTTATTCCATTTGCAGAGAAAACATTTTATTTAAAACCAGGTTGCACACTTCCCTTGGGCTCTAGGCCGTCAAACTGAGCTCTTTCCGTCTCACCTACTGCCACCACTAAATGAAAGCCAGTAGAGAACATTATATAAATTTGCTTTTGTAGAGCCCCATTGACTACAAATCATCTGAATCAGTTGTCCCTGAGTCAGGATGTTTCCATTTGCTAGTTGCAATTGCATGGAGGTAAACAGAGTCACAATTTGGCCTACAGAACCTTTAATACTGGGAACAATATGTGAAAAGCAAAGACTATGGCTTGACAGTTTAAAGCACCGAGAAAAATGATAAGAAAATTTATTTCTCATTTATTTATTTCTGATCATAAAATGGCACTGATTTTAGCTACCAATTAGGTAGTCACCGTGCACAGAAGTCTGCCATGCCAGTTTGACAGACACTTTCAGAACAGAACTGTACTTGGTTTAGTGCTACTTGAAGGCAGGATGCCTGGGCAACACAGTACTTCAAAACTGCATGACATACAAAGTACACAGCCTTATGGTGGGTTGTTTGGTGGTAGCAATGACTTTTATAGTGATATAAAACTATGGTGATTAATGTTATATTTTCTATGCTTAATTTTTTATTTCTTCTGGGTAAGGATATAATTCAGCACCAGAGCATGTGCAATATATTATTTTAATGCTGGAAAGAAAATGCAAAACTTTTTGGACCTGTTCAATAAATGCTTTATTAATGCAACAAGCCAGAGCTGGGCTGTTGACCTAGTTAATCTCTCTTTCAGAAACATGTAGTAAAGCCGCTCTGTTGCATACAAGGAAGTAGAAAATTGTCGAGAACTTGCCAGTTCAGAAAGGCTTCCTAGTGTCTGCGAACCAAAGTTAAGGGTTAGGGTCCAGCCTGTTCAGTCATCAGGCTATTAGCATGCTGGCTGTAAGACTAAGAATTCACCTTCTTCACTGTATTGCTTTCAAAATATTCTTTTACTATTTCTTTGTATTTCCCATATTTGCATTCCAGACATAAGATAATTTAAATTTAATAGAATTTTAGTCTACAAAAAAAATTTTTTAAAAATTACAGTCCATATTTTTAACTAGTGAGCCTTCAGCCCTACACACAGCCATAGCTTAAGTGGCACCTATTAGATGTGTTTATATGCTGTTCCTCATGCCTAACACTGGACAACTGAAAATCCATATGGAGGCAAGACTTGCTTAAAACTGGTTCCTCAAAAACTCATCAGTCAGAAAATGAGAATTTATTCCTGAATACATTTAAAAAAACCAAAACTGTTTAAATGTTACTTGTCTTTATGTGTGTAATAACACAGTCTTTTCCACTGCATAACCCTGCTTCTAGTCTCCTTTCCATTCCATTTGCCTCCCACTGCTCTATTCGTCACCCCAGCTCTTACCTTCCCAAGTTCTGCTCTTCCCAGACACTACTGAATTCTCCATAGTACTGTTACTTCCAATGGCCCCTAGCATCCTTTCCATTCTCTCTAGGAGAATCTCTCATTTTCATTTACCCTCTCCCCCTTTCCTCAGTGCTGTCCTCAGGTGTGGGGCCACGTGCTCTGCAGGTGCTCAGCAGCTCTGGGGGACCAGCTGACTGTTCACATACAGAAAAAGGAGGTGCTTGGTGTCTGGCCCAAAGATTTTCTCTTTGCCCTTTAAGAACAGCTTGGCTAAATACCTTCTCTGACAAGAATGGTCTAGGAATAGCTGACTGCTTCAGTGATGACATCTTGAAGTACCTATTTTCACTGTTCTACGTCCTATTATCTATACCTCTTTGTTGGTTGTCACCTTCACCAGCCTCAACCTACCCTAGAGCAATTTTTTGCTCCTAGATTCTTAAAAACTGATTTCTCACTAGTCTTTCTGTCTTCAGCACCAACTTATGTGGTTGCTTTGCTGGTACCCTGGGAAATTTTCTGCTTCTGCGTATATAACATCACCAAGGTATCCTTTATTCAAAATTGTCTGCACAGCACAACCCTGTTCACTTTGTTTGCCATTTATGAGTATTTGAGGACCAAGTTTAACAACCTGTTTACATTAAAATTTAAATCAAAAACTTTTCCAAATGTGTGTACAAAACTTGTGACTATACCTGCAATAGAACATGAATTTCTTGCCTGTCCTCACACGTCAGTGTGCTCAAAGAATAAGATCAGTCATCGCATCCTGTTCATTACCTGCCTTATGAATAGTATCAAATAATTGGTCCTTTCAGTGTCACAGTCTTTTCCTTTGATGACTGCTATCTACAAGTCCCCACCTTATATCAAAATCTGAAAAATCAGATGCATCTTGAAATACGTAGGAGATTTCCTTCCCCTGGCTTGTAGAAAAAGAGGTAGTAGAAGTGGTGTCTTGTTCAAGAAAAGCACACTGCTGAGCTATCGTCTGAGCTATGCTGGGCAGAGTGAGCGAGCAGGCTTCATACCGGCCTTGGGAAACTGCTCCTACCAAATGCTGCCAAGTTCCCTGTCACACAGCACCTTCAGGATTAGCAAGCAGTAAGGGAAGCTGGGTCCTCTTCCAGCTCAAGTTGTCAATTCCCATCTCCTGTCTCATTTTCAAACCATACTGGTTGATGTATTGTGGTAAAAGAGAGCATGTTACGTGGCCTGCTGACCAGGCTGTGGCTGTGTGTTCCCATATGTCAGCCTTGGTCTTTTGGACGAATACCAATTTGGCTAATGGCTCATTTTTCTCCGCCTTTCAACTTGATTAATTCTTCTGTTTCTTCTTCTAAATAATTTTTCAGTTTTGGTGATGTGGATTGTTACTTTATTTGCATAACAAAAGCCAGTGTTCTTAATAGTGAGACAGAAAATAACTGCATATTGATATTTATTAGAATCTTTATGCAGAGAAGGAAAACTTTTGCTAATGTTGCAAAAGGACTAACAGTTGCCATTCCACATAGAAAGCATACATATTTTTTTTCTTCATTACGGCATTGGTGTGCTTGTACTAGTAACTTCATGCTGACATTGTCCCTTTTTTCCCCTAGTTTATGGTGGCCTTGTCTGTCCTTTCGTATGAAGGACAAATCAGCAAACTTGTTTCCACATCTCTCCAGTACCTCACATCTCTAGAGACTCTCAAATCAGATGAATTACGTGTAAATGGGATGCCAAAGCCCTGTATGCACAGGTCACTCTTGCCAGAACTAAGAGACCTAACTTTTCTGGCTGTAGCTGTAGCGGGCTCAGCAATTTCTGTATGTGACAAAATCACAGAGAGAGAGGGAGAGAGAGAGGGTGCACTTTCTGAGAGGGAATGGCTGACAGCATGGCTTGACCACCCAACAACTAAGGACTGTTTTCCTCATTTTGCAGATGGGCTTGTAATGAGGCAGACAGAGCAGCTCACACCAGGTCTTTGACATTTCGTGGGGAAAAGAGGTTTTTAATTCCTAACCTATAAGCTCAGAAAAAGGCAGAGGGCCTGCAATTCTGAGGGTTAGCAAACGCGTAGGGACGGCAAATTAGTTTCGTATTAAAAGCTTAAAGATTCTCAGTGATAAAAGGAACGGTATCAATATAAGATCATTATCATGTAATTGCACTCATGCCTTTCACAAGGCATAGCTAGAGCAATTAGCATCCCCCTTCATTTTCAGCTGCAGTAGGCAAAACCATAAAGATAGTGCTATATGTTACTCACAAACTGTACTGCCTCGTTAACTTCCTCACACGAGAAACTTTAATCTCCTGCTTTTCTGTAGGGCCAGTTGATGGCGTAGTTTCAGGTCGCACTGGAGCCGGACTTCTAAAAATAACAAGAAAAATATATGTGGCACAGTCTTTATTTAAACTACTTCAGGCATATCAACGAAGTTCTAACTCATCAACACACGTTTATCTTGCAAAGTGGCGAGCGCCCATTGAAGTTCATCCTTTTGTTCCATTTATAGTCCACTGGCCAGTGTGCATGAACAGAAAAGGATGTGTGAACTCACTCTCCTGTGCGTTGCATACCATTTTCAAAAGCAGCAACTGATTACAAATACAGAGCCTATGTAAGAGACAACGTGGAAGTGTCACTGTTTCCAAAATACAACATTTTAATGACAGCCCAGCAATTGAGTCATTTCAGAAATATTTTTACAAAAAATACCTTTAACAAAAACTATTTTATAAATTGTGAAACCTGTTCTGCTTAAAATAGTTTTTACCTGAAATTAAACATTATCCTGCTGCATTTGAAAGAGCAGCTCAAGGGAAATGAACTAATGGATTTGATCCAAGAAAAGGATACTTGCTAGAAAAAAAGCAACACTCAGACATGTTTCAGATACTCATGAATGTGATACACACCTGCAGAGCTCCAGCAAAGGATAGAAATAGGAATGAGGAGACCTACATAAAAGGATCTTCTCTTTAACCATTTATCAGTAGAGTTAACTACGGCTTGAATACAAATAGCATAAATACTAAACACAAGATCTTCATGACCTTGGGAGGAAACCATTTCAACTGTGAGCTTCAGTGGCATGAAGACACATGAATTATCTTGAATACTACTTATATTTAGAAGCAACACGTTATGATTAAATACATCATACATGTATTAGAAATGCTATAAGCATAATAAATATGGTATACATTAAAGAAGTAATTTGAAATTCTTGACTAATAATTTATGAAATGGTATTCTGCCATCTAACCCAAAGTCAAATACTAAGTTAGTACTTCAGCAGCCCTGCTGATTGCTGGTGGGACTGCTCACGCACTGAGGTATGTTCCAAAACTGGCAGAAGTGGCACAATCTTGTTTCTAATACTATAAATTTGAGTTGAATTTTTTGAATCTACTTGCATCGAATTAATCTTTTAAAGCCATAGATAAGTATATTTAATCTTCACAATTGCAGTTCCCTCTGATGCCCCTGTGGGTTTTAATCTTCATTAATTCTCTCTGATAACTTCTGAACCTGCTGTCCAGCTATAACAGAACCTACTGGGATGGCTTAGCCTTCAGATTAAATCTTCAGTTCTCCTGTGTGTTTTTCAATCTTTGGGGAGGCTACAGAGCATAAGAGGGAGGAATGGGAAGTAGAGGAGTACAAAAGACATACACAAATCATAAAACCAACTCTACTAGTTCTACTTCTCAGGCAATAACATCTGACTATTTTTGTCCTGCTTTTTGATTTCATTAATTTCAAGAAGTCAGTACAGATAGCAGCAATATTCGTATTTTTCCCCTTCCCAGAATCCAGTTTCAGGGTCAGTCATCTACATCTCAGATTTGTAATAAGATTAATGCAGAACAATCTAGCCAGATTTTCAGACTTTTTGCTGAATTTCTTAGGCTGCCAAATTAGGGGTGGATAAATGAATAAAAAAGCCCAAACTATCTTGTTGTAATCTTGAAGTCAGAATGCCCAATCTGGAAATTTGTGAATCAACATCATGATGGAAGGCCCCAATGTTGTTTTCATCAAGTCAGTCTTCAGAGCAGATGGCTGCTCTAGCTATTCCTTTTTAGACACCTTTTCCTAAACTAAAGGTAGATTTTGACATCTGAAAAAAATTACTAGTTCAATTTACTCGAAGCTATTTTCAGTTGACGTTCTGACATAAGCTGGATAAATATGTTAAGACCCGTTTAATGACTGGATCTGATGGTCAAATCCTCAAGGGGTGTGAATGTGTGTAATGCCATTATTTCCAGCTCAAGCCTTCTGAAACACATTAGCTGAAATTCCTGCTCTGAATGAGCAGTTGCCACAATTTTCCAATACCTTTCTAAGACAGTAGTTACAAGTTTTAAACATTTTCATCAACCCAGTGAAAACAGGAGCAAAAATAGTGGTATCACTCAAAAAGATAACACGGAATGCACTAATACTATCAAAGGGCTCAGGAAACAGCACAGTGTGGAACAGCAAAGCTGGTAACAAATATATTTCCAGTTCAGGGCTACTTCAAATTTCTCAAGACAACATTATAATCTGTAATGAAAGTAAATTTCACACAAAGATATTTTCACACAAATAAAAACTTGAAATGATAACTTCAGTTCCTTTAAAAAGTTTCATTTTACAAAGCCTGAATATCTCCTTTTGATTGTCATGGTTTGCAATCTTAAAAAAGGGGAGGAGGTGGGACTTTCAAAGCAGTTATTTCAAATCAAAAATCAAATTTTTCAAAATTAAATTTTTACTTGAAAAGATATTGTGCAATTTTGCAACTAGTTTTTTATTTCAAAGCAAGTTATGAAACTGATTTGTATATATCAAATGTTTTAAAGTTCCAAGTCTGAATTCATCTTGAAAAAAGTGTCACACACAAAATTTCATTCAGCTGCAATTAAAAGTGTTTGAGAACCAAACAGGACCTCCTCTTTAACCCAACAAATAGATGAAAAACTATTTTCCTTTGAATGCTGTGAATTTCCAAGTGAACAATATAAAAAAAAGTGCTAAGATACTGTACCACTAGACACACCTACTCCTATTTCAGTGATTGTAACTGCTCAGATAAACTTTACTTGTATTTTGTATCATGCTAGTAAAGTATCCCACTCACTTATTCTGGAAAAGCAATACAATTTTAAGAGCAAAACCCTACATTCTCTTTATCATAGAATTTTGCCATCATTTTTGTTAGAGGCTGGATGCAGTGACTATCTTTCTCCTGATATTCATCAGGCCTCTGGGAGAGGCACAAGCACCATTTAATTGCACATTTCAAGAAGCTGCAGGTTATCTAGTGTGTAATTGAAGCTGGCCTCTGGATGAAAAGGAGCAGTGGCAATGTCTCCATGCGAAAAGGCTGACTGAATCCAGTCTACCACAAGCAAGAGACAAAATGTTAGACTAGTCTGACCAACTGCAGAGCTGGATTCTTGCCCTCATTAAAACCTTGCTAGGTTAGCTCTTTCCACACCCGCCTAAAAAATCCGTGACAGCCCCTGTTTCATGTCCAAACACTCTTCCGCAGTCTGAACATGCTCAAAACTGTTGCTGCTCTCACTTCAGCAACCAGATGCAAGAAGTGCTCAGCTTGATCAACTCAGAACCTGATCTGTGTTTTAAAAATAGCAGGCTTTTAATATCACACAAACTCTTAAGAATGATCTCACTGATATTCCTGAAAAAGAAGCAGCTCTAAAGCAGAATAACTTCTATTGTAATCTTTTGAATTCTACAGCCAGAATATATTATCTTATATGGAAAGATATGATTCTTGAATAAAAACCTTGTAATTATTTTGGCTATTTAAATAGAGTCATTATATGCAGATACCTCCATTTGTAGTTCATAGTCCTTATAAGTAACTTATGTGAGCGTGAACAAAACCTGAAATGCTGAAGGACCAGTGGGACTCAGGGTTAAAAAAAAAAAAAAAAGAAAAATAAAATGTGCAGTCTATTACAGTTCTTTTATACGGTTCTGTTTCGATGTCATTAATTCATAAGAAACCTTTTTTCCTGTAACAGTGTCCTACCATTACTGCATAAAAATGAAAGTACTGAACCAAGACAGAGTTACTTAGTGATCTGGCACCTTACATAAAAATCTGTCACTTCCTGGTGAGAATGACAATAACAACCACAAAAGTCAGCATGCAGCAGCAGGTCATCAGAAACTGCCTGTGCACTGAAAGCCCCAGGACACGCCTCCTGAGCAGCAGCCAGCACGCTCTACCGAACCAGCTTTGGCCTGTTTCACAACCATGCACAGAAACATAAACAAGTCCTAGAGAGAGATCCCCCCAAAACCAAGAAATCCATTTCGTTCTCAGAGTAGCAGCCAATGGGGCTACTGAAACCAAAACTGCTCAGCAGAAATGTGCACTTTGGAACATTTCAAGGGACCACAGATGTCCAGCGATTTAGCTTCAAATGTCCTTGGGGACATGATGTAGGTGCTCGTGCTGAGGGACTCGGGGGGTCCCACCCTGGCTCAGCCATAATGGGGAGATTAATTCGCAGGGCAGAGGCTATGCCACTACCTGCACCGCCCCGTTGCACACTGTGGCTTCTACAGACTGACATGCCTTCCTCGTCCCCTGCTAAGCTGGCTCCACACAGATCTCTGTGCTTGTTTGTAACATGGAAAGTGGGCTGTGTGAGGGCAGTCGTTTGTGCACCTATGAAGCTGAAAGGGATAAACCCACTTCTCTTTCCCTGGAAGATCCAGTTCAACATTTTAAAACCACCAAAGTCTGCTGGGGAAACCCACTTTCTGCATTTGTGTTTAACAGGTTTTATCCTCTTTGCTTCTGTCTGTGCCTTTTTTGCCATCTGGAACAATCTCTCTGCTTCCATGGAGAAGGCCAAGAGGTAGAGACTAAAAGCTCCATGATTTACAAGGATACAGCCATCTGCACGAAGGTTCACCTGCCTTCAGGTGCTGACTCATCGAAAGAAATGAAACACTAGCTGATTTTTCGGTTCAGAACTCCCTATGAGTGGGAATATGGCAGTGAAATCTTGGGGAGAAAATGCAAGGAAGAAAGGAAAAATATTTGATAGATATATTCTCTTGGGTATTAAAGACATAGCCTAACAAGCTAAGCAAACACACGCAAATCTTTTCTCAGGGTTCTAAGGGTTTCACACTTCTATTTCTTTGCCAAAGTTATGGCCATCTGAAGCTAAGAAACAATAATATGTGCTTTTTCACTCTGATAAGGTAGTTTTTCTCAGAAGACAGGTTAGCTCTCCAAAAGGTTATCTGGACTTTCGAAAGATACTGCCAGTATCAAACTTTCTGAATAAAGGCTTTTCCTTTTTTTTTTTTTTAAACTGGGATTGTAT